GGGGCGGGGTATGGGGCGGGGCTTGCGGAGAGTCGCAGCGCGCTCTGCGCCCTGGGGGCGGCATGAGGGGCGGGCCGTAGTGGCGTGCGCCCTGAGGCCCCATGGCGGGGTATGGACTGGTGCGACCAGCTCCATTCCCAGCTCTAAGCCCGTTTGGCCAAAAGCCGAAAACCTAGAGTCTGAGTTGGGTCTTGCAAGAGGCGAAGTTGAAGGTCACCGAAGCGGGAGGAGGGCGTCTGAAGCTGGATTCTGAAGGACTATTAATGGAGGGATAGGTTACCAGGTGTAAACCACATGCAGGCCATCCTGGAGGACTCGACTCTAGCCCGATCACGTTGTTTGCCCACAAAGGGAAGTCACTACTTTCTGCTGGTAAAGAACGTGGTGGCCACAGGCTAGACGGATGTAGCTCATTTTGGTGTTTGTTTTAGGGAGTGAGGCTACTCGAGAAGCATCTTGAAAGGGGACAGAGGGTAAGTTAAGTATAATCTCCAGCTATCTCTGTGATGCCCCTGTCCCCACAGGACATTATCTGCACTCCCATCACTGCCTTTCCTGCGCCACCATTCACTCAATTGCTGTACACCAAAATTTGGGTGTCATCCTTGACGTCTCTTCTTCATCCCCTACAAGTATGAACATGGATAGATCTACGATCCTGAGTGAAAAGGAAACTGGAGTACATACACACTCTAAAAGAAAAACCTTCCACTTGCAGCAGCTCCTACCTTCGAGATATCAAAACTGAAGTCCGTGTTTACCATAGCTGAGTCTAACCAGACAAAGCTGATAATGACTTCGGACTTTGAGCAATTCCAGTATGCCAGACTCCCACCAACTTAATGCAAGATTCCCCTGAACAACCAAAGCTGGGCCTTGTCTTAACCAGCTGGGAATGGATTTAGGGATTCATTCCTCCCTAGGCAGGTGCAAGCTTCAAACCTTAGTTGCATGCCCCTTAATCCTCCCCCTGCCCTTCAGACTTAAAGAAATTAACCACAGAGAATTAAGTAAGTTACCTGCAGTCCTAGTCCTTGGTAGAGCTGTTATTTGAAATAGGTGTGTCCTACACCCATCCCTCTACCTTATGTATCATTCCTCAACCAAAACACACAGCTCTTCTGTATGTGTGATCCATCGTAAAATAATCATAAAATAAATGGATGAAACTGGTTTCTGCTCTGTTTCAATTAGCTCCACACAATGATTTGTGTTTAGTAATGTTTCCAGTTGGTATTAACATATTTTAGGAGATAGATTTTAATGAGGAACTCACTGAACAGTACTGAATCACAAACCTGTCAATGGGTGTGACCAAGATTGTGGAAGGAAATGTTTTTGAGTCTGTAGTTACTGGGACCTATCAACAGTTTATTTTTGTTTTTTGCTTTTTTCACAGAGGTCTTCAGTCAGGACTGTGTCTGCTAGGCACAGATGTACACACACATAACCAGAGCAGTAAAGCCTGTCTGCCACAACAGAAGACCTTGTGAAGAAGGAAGGGTGCTTCCATTTGTTTTATCATTTTTGGAGCCTTGTATGTGGTGATTTTCCACTTTAACAGACCCTCAAACAAAAACATCAAAAACAAATGCCAGGTTGCAGTGTTTCAAGTCAATTAATGTCTACTGAGTATCCACAGTACCAATTTCTAGGTCTTTAGGAGTATTTTATAGCTTTGTTTGAAGAGTGACATAATCCATTCAATAAGCCTTTCTCCAAGAAATTAGTTTGTGAAATTATGGGAAAAAGTTGCCTATTTTCTCAACCTACCCTATCTGCCACATGTTTCTAGGACTTCATGTTAGAGCCTTGCTAATATTAGCAAAAACATACAGAGTGCTTATTATATGCCAGACACTGAAGTGCTTTACATAAGTGACTCATTTAATCCTCATACCAACCCTATGCAGGAAAGACTATTATTATCTCCTGCTTTTACACATGGAGGACATTCAGGGAGAAAGGTTATCTAACGTATAAGATGACACAGTAAATGGCAAAGCTGCCCTAACTCCTGTTCGCAATACAGGAATGACCAGAACGCTCCTGTGACAAGTCTGATTGTGTCATTCCTCAGCTCACAACCCCCCAGTGGCCCCCTTATCTCCTGCAACGGCCTGCAAAGCCCTGCACACCTGCTTCCTGGACCTCGGCTCCTTTGCCTCTCTCCCCTTTGCTCATGCTGCCCCAGCCTCCTTGCTCCACCTCTGAGCACTTGCAGGTGCTGCCTCATCTGGCAGGAACTCTCTCCCCAGATAACCTCCTGGCTCACTCCCTCACCTCCTTTAAGTCTTTATTCAAATGTCACCTCAGCCAGGCCTTCCTGGATCATCTTATTTAAAACTGCAACTCATCTGCATTT